AAAATACATTTATACCACAAAACTTCTGCACAGGAATGGAGAGTTCCCTGAATCTAATCATGTGGTTTGGTGCTTAAATCAATGAACATTTGAAACATTTAAAACTAGAGATGAACCAAAGAGGCTTTGTCCAGACTTTGCCTATTCTATCAGTCTGACCTGTTGATTCATTTGTAGTTTTTTCTTTACAGACTAAAAACATAACAGGAATGACCAGGTTTCTTGACTAAGTTGTAGTTTTGAATCCAACAGAAAAAAATAGGAATGATGTTACTGCCACTTACACTTTGAAACACATTTCTAAGATTTGTTTTTCAGAATAAATTAAGAAAAGTGTGTTGGATGACATAGAGACTGAATATATCAGAATTACATTTTAGAACAGGGAGAATATTTAAACTCTACAGTTTTTACCAGGCAAGCAAAGGAAAATATGCTGATTTCAGTCATTGGTTCTTCTTGAGTAAAACTATGTCCATATCTAGGAAATGTCAATATGTTCTACAAAAAGAACAAACTACTTTAGTTTCTACTTAGTTTTTGGTTAACAGTTGATAATGACAAAGCAAATGACAAAATATGTTTTCTTTTTAAAAACATTTAAAGCCAGTTAAATTGATTAAAACGATGAAAGGATGAGTAAAAGTAGTTTTGTAGTTATTTAGCGTTTCCGTTTTGTGGCAAGAAGGGAGGATGAACATAATTACTCATAATTCCTCTGATGCCATCGTCTCTCCACGTCTCTGTGCATTTAAGGCAGGAGGATCTTCAATCATGGTTGGGAATCATCATTAAGTCTACATTTTGCAGACATGTAATGTCTGACGGAGTGAAGAGTGTTGAACTCATTTTATTAAAAAGCCAAAACAAAATGATTTTCTGCAGCAGACACAAAAGGAGAATATAATCATAAGGGACCAATATGATATAAATATTTTCTGATAGATAATTTAAAGTACAAAAGAACCGACTACAGAAAAATAAGAAGTTTCTTGTTTTCCTTTCAGTTTCTTTGTAAACCATAAAACACACATGAGGGTTTGGTAAAGATTTTAGCTGTTAGCAGAAAAAATAAATATAAAGTTTGCTGACCATAACTCATTCAGTGGTAAAATAAGACAATGGCTTTTCTTAGTGTTGCTATTAACCAAAAGTAATATGGTTTCAATCTCTTTATTGGTGGGTAGCATTGGAGCTCAAAAGTGTCCACAACCATGCTGTGTACATATAAAACACATAAATTATACAAACTTTTTCCCACCAAAAGTAAAATATATTCTGAACAATTCAACAGAAGAGCAAGCATGTTTGTTGGAGAAAAGTCAAAATACCCTGGCTGCATAAGACTGCACATCTTTATATACACAACTGTATTTGGGATTATTTAAACTTTAACCCACCACAGTCTTAGACAGAGAGACAGATTTGCTAAGTTTTATGTGATGGCTCCTTTCAGTTTGACTTACAACTTTGATTATATCCCTTTTTGACCTCTAACATCTTCAAATTTGTCTATGTTTAACATTTAACACTTGATCGCAAGTGTTAAAAGGCTGGATGTAGGAATACGACTGGCTGAGTGTATATGCTGATCAACAAAAAAAAAAAAAGAAAAGCATGGCAGTAGTTCTCCAGCATGCCTTTGAGGGACATTGTGTGTATGCGTGTGTGGATGTGTGGCAAAGATCTTGGCAAAAATAAAGAGATGATGTGGACAATGTTCAGTTAGGCCTCCCTTCTTAGATTTTGTCCCTGTGTGTAGGTGGAATGGGGTGTTAAGGCATGAATGCACTGCTGGCTCACCACAATCATGCGTGTGTAAGTGTGGGTGAGTGTGTGCAGTAAGGGATGAATGCTCTGCTGACTTGTCAGAGTTGAGGATTTTTCCCTGCAGCAACTTTGTTTCATTTATAAAGTGGTACTGCTAGTTGCTCTGGATAACAGCATCAGCTAAATGTCAGAGGCAGAGATACAAAAGCACGGCGCACACACAGCTGTGTAAGCATAAATAAAAACCACAGAGTGCCAGACTCAGTCTTGTAACACTTGTTATTACACAAGGGACTTACGCTGCCATCTGTTAGAAATCACAGAGATACATTTTGGCAGTTTGTCCAAAAATTATGTTTCTTGAAATCGTTTCTCCTACGTAGGGCTGCGACGAGATTTCGTGCCACAAAATATCATGATATTTAATTTTTAAAAGATTGCTGGTGTAGTGGAAGTGAGACTGAAGAAGCACTGTCATGTTCCACTCTGCATTACTTTCAATAAATTAGCCTTGAAGGTGTGGAGTGAAGGATGAAATAATGTTGAGCCTTTCAGAGCAGGTGGCTAACGACGCTGAAGTAGGCATCCCGTTTTTGCCTTTCAAATGGTGTTTTAGTTCAGTTCTCGGTATTGTGAGGTGTTGTTTTGATTAATTTAACAACCTTGGAGGATTTTTCTGAGAGCATACCCATTTCTGGTCATTGAAGGGTTGAACACACTCGAAAGCCTCCTGGTCCGACGCTACAACTACAACACAGGACATGTTTTATGTGTGAAGCAGTGCTTTAATTAACACATTAAATCCCTTCTGTCATTAGCTGCTCCTGTAATTGATTTAGATTTTTTATTTTATTTTTTTAATAAGATCTGGGGCCTCATTTATAAAGCGTGCGTGCACACAAAAAATGTGAGGCGCCATATTTTACGCACAAGTTGACATGTACAAAAATGAACGTGGCATTAAAGTTGCGCAAACTTTTAACCTGCCATGGGGATGTATAAAAGAAAGATGTGCAGGTATGTACGGCTTTATGCATCCACTGGTTTTTGTGAGCCGACCTTTTCTAAATTTGCCCGTACGCCAAGTTTTAGTGTCAAAACTGTGCACTCTTTTATACATGAGGCTCCTGGTTTCCTGTCTGCAGCACACCCTCCATCTTAGAAACTACAAAGAAACTGTGTTCAGGAAAGTAACATATTCATTCAGTAGATGTTATATTGAGGCAGTAATCCGAAAGATTAATTTCCAACCCAATATCCCAGTCTGCTGGAGAAACAACTGTTGCCTCCTCTGAACAAACCAGGCCTGCAGGTCAAGACTTCTTTGACAGAGAGAAAAGGATAAAAAACTGGACTGCTGTCCTGCTTGTTGCTGAGACCCAGAAAGCAAATGACCTTTCCATGCACATGAAGAAGGAGGATTCTGGGTTACTTTCCTGATCTGGATTTGAACAAGCATGAATGTCAAAGAGAAAACTTCCAGCCTAACTTTGATAACACGAAAACCTAAATAACAGGCACAACTCTGTTGATACAAATGTCTGATGAAGGTTGATAAACATCCGTTGAACATTCAGATTGATGAACTTTCCTTTTCAGAGCCTTTTATTCTCATCAGCAGAAGTTGAGCCGTCTCCATTGTCGACTTTATGTTTATTTCTGTTGTTTATTCCTCATTGTTCAAGTAAATAAGTACATGCATTAGTGAGGTTATTGATAAATAATAAGTAAATAAGTACATGCATTAGTGAGGTTATTGATAAATAATAAGTAAATAAGTACATGCTTTAGTGAGGTTATTGATAAATAATAGCTATGGAAAATGGATAAAACAAAAAATCATAGCACTGAGACACAATGTAGCCCTATGGTCCTTTACACATGTATAATTGATTGTTCCATGCAAACATAAATGATTTATTGCAGATTGATGAATGAATTGCAAAACTAATATTTAGACAGTGGAATTATTTTATTGTGAGATCAATTAATGCTACGTGACAACAGGTTGTACTATGTTTTTACTCGCAATCCCACAGGCCATGTTGATTTAAATTTTTATTTAAGTAAAAGTAAAATTTAATAATAATACATGTCTGGAGAAATACTGTAGCTAAGCTGTTAGTGTATGAGCTGTGAAACCTTAAGTCTATTTGTCCAAAAACAAAAAAAAGAAGACAATTCTTAATATTTATTCAAGATTTTTTTTTTAAACTTGCCTCTTCAGAAAAGGGGATGGATTAATTCACACATGTCAAGTATAAAACTGCAATATCTGGAATAATTGTAAGCCAGATGTTTCATACTGAAAGGAGACTTCACCCAAATGCACCAACACATTCTGTTTTTATGAATAATAATTATTATAATTTCTATGCGGCTGCAAAAAAGGGTCTCACATACTGCTACTTTCCCCATTTAATTCAAGTCTACATGGAAAACACATTTTATTATTATGCTGGCAATAGCGGTATTATACTTCACTTAAATGTCAAGGTGAGTAAACAAAGGTTTTACACTTTACTCTTCCTGACAGACTTAGAGCAAATGTTAGGGCTGGATTAAGCCCGCAGAGATTTTAAAAGCAGATATCAAAGGTGATACACTGTCTGGATTATAGAAATGGAGCCGGATAACTTTACACTAAATTTGTAGTTAATTACCCAGAACTGGGGATAGTAGAAACTGACATTTTTCAGCCTTACTGGCCCCCCAACACCATGACAACGTAAAAATATGTTATTCTAAAATAATTTTAAAGGACAAATGACATAATAAGATGATATAACATTTAAATCTAGTAGTGTACCCCTGTAAATCTGAAATATAATCCTTCAGGTAACTTGACCAATGTAATCTAAGATTTAAATGAAAATAAAAAGGACTTTTACTCATTTTCTATCTTTTTTTTTTTTACATGATGAGCAAATTTTTAAAGGCATTTCATTTAAGCTGATAATCAGGCAACTCCAGTCACATGCTCAGTAAATGTTTGTATCAAATTATCATTACAAAGAGGCCCAGAGATACTGTGAACAAAATCAATAGGCATGACTTCAAAAGTTGCCTATTAATATACAATAACCAGAAGAAGTGCAAACAAGCATGTTAAATGCAACTCAAAAATATTGTCCAGTGAACGCAGCGAGCGCGGCAGCAGTGACCCTGGTTACACGCTGTCCACACCAAACAGCAAAATCCAGTGAATAATGTATGTGTATAACACTTACAGGCTCCGTCAGCTCCAGAACACTGGCCAAATACGTGATGGGACTACAGTCACGAGTGTTTCCCACAAGTGTACAAGGTAGGAACATGGGACCCAAGTCATCTCCATCCAGCACATCCACGGTCAGCGTGGTGGTGGCAGTTCGACGGTCACTCGGTGAAGGTGCCCGGTCCTGCATAGAAATGAGAAAATCTTCCATTTTAGTTCATGAAATCTGAAGCAATCGGTTTTTTTGAAATAGTAGCAACCAGGACTAAGAAACACTCAAGCAGCAAGTTAAATGATTTAGATAAAGAATAACCCAATCAAATCAGAATGGCTGCATTAAACTGGGGTCAGAGAGCAGACCCCTATTAATAATATATCAAACAACACGAACTGGCAGAGTCTGATCAGCGGCTTACGCTCCAAGGCACATCTAACCATCTATCAAACCTGTTCCACTCAGGAGCTTCGACACTTTTAACAAAAACATCCAAGGCCAGCGTCCAGAAATCTATTCGATCTTTCTGCATTTTATCAAGACGCGTCTCTGTGCATTAAATGCATCAGCTGATGTGCATTAAGTGGCAAAAGGATTCATCTTCAAAAGATAAGCAATGTGGAATTCAATTTTTTTTTTTTACCCGACTACTCAACACTACTGTTATCACCCTTTTAATAACAGTAGTTATTAAACTACAGTTATTTCTAATTTCCTGTTCATCCCACTGAACAGGAAATTAGAAATATTTTGTTTATAAATACAGGACCAGATTTTGGCTAAATCCCAATTTTTTTTTTCATGCACCTTGTAAAATGTTCATTACAACCAGCCGCTGAGAAAACAACAACAATAAAATTGTAAGTTTCACACTCAAGATGTAAATTTTTTATTTTAACATATTTGCTGGAAAACACATACATTTAAATCCAATTCTCAGGGATCTAAAAATATTAAATCATTTTAATATGTTAATGATTTTCAGACACAGCTTCATTTCTTTTTTCAGACATACAAAAGCCCTGAGGAGCTTTTTCCTGCTTGCAACTATCATGTTTTCTACACCAAGAACAGAACTGAAAAACGGTTTTCAGCTGAATATTGATTAATTCATTACATTTCCAATATGCTTGCACTGCCAAAGTCTTGATCCAGAAAAACCATCTTACTCTAAAGGTTTGGTTTGTCAAGAAACTGAAAGAAAAACAAGCAAACATGGCAGTACAACACATATTCAATAAAAACAGGATTGTGCAAAGGAGTGAAAAAATGTGTGACTGCTACACCAAAAATAAAGAACGACTGTTCTCTCACATGATTAGTTTTTCTTCAGAGGTGACCTGAAGGAGACCTTAGGCTAAAACAGGAGGATTTTTGTGAGGCCCTCATGAAATATGCAGCCAGTTTGGAAGGAATACAAGGCCGTTGTCAAGAAACACGAAACTCATCGCCTTTCTACTGAATCCATGTTTCACTACGACTTGCAATATGCTTTTCTAGTAATAATGAGGAAACTTATGTGGAACTTGTACTACTAATAAGATAAAGATTTAACTTGAATCTTAGCGACTTGGTCACTGTGTGGAGGTAAAACATGCTTTGTGCAGTTCACATCAAAATATACGATTTGACCTTTGGAAACATGCTCCTGTTATTAGAGTTTCCTAAAATTTAAACTTTTGGATCAATTAACAAGTACCACTTCTATGTAGGTGGAGTACCCAAATCATTAACATGACCTTCACAAGTGTACTCCTAAGAGGTCAAGATCTTTCTGCAATTGCTTATAATAATATACATTTGAAATGTTTAAAGATTGGGGTATTTTTCTTCAAGCTTCCTTGTTCTCTAATTTTCTCTAGAAAACCTTTGAGGCCTTCATAAAACATCTGGATTCATACTGAGATGAGATTATACATACAAGTGGACTTTTTATTAAATAAATTGCAAAGTAAATTAGTTGCGCTCAAAGTTATTTAGAGGATGTTGAATTGAGTTTTAAAACATGTTTAAGATCGTCTATAATTTTCTTTATTTCTTCACATCTAGGTACCCCTTTGTGGCGATTTCTCATCTTCATGTTGGTCTAAAATCCCAATAAAATACAGAGAAATTTGTCATTGTAATGTGACAAAACATGAAGAAGGTTCAGGGCTCTCAATAACTCTGCAAAGTGCTGCATAACATTAGGTGGATGGAACCACAATGTCTTCAGTATAATGTTGAAGTAATATGGGAAGTTAAGATTGCCAGTTATCAACACAATAAGCCTAATTATAGACTGTTTCTATCAGCGTTCAGATGAAAAGGTCAGCCTTGTTTAATAGGTTTTGCCTGGCTTCATGCAGCCTGCTAAGAATTTATACCCCACAAATTTGCGGCTTCTCAAAATACTCCTAATAATCTCTTCAGATAAACACTGAATGTGTCAGCCTTTCCAGCAGTCAGAAACACATTAATCTTTCAGTGTACTGTTGACTTTTAATAATGTTTTCGGGGTAACTGGGATCTGGGACATGAATACATGGAGTAACTCTGAGAAGCCTTTTGTGAGGATGGTTCTCACATTACAACAAAACCCGAAACTGCAGCTGATGAGAATCATCTCAGCCATGGTTCAGCTTAGATCACTTTAACTTCTACAGACAACGTGCTTACTGATCTGACAAAAATAAATATATTATAGTGAGCTCATTAATAAAACATAGATTGCAGGGAAATAAAAGGCAAACAATTAGATTGGCAAATACATTAGTGATAATTAGGGATGCTCTTGCAGATTCCCTTAGGCTGACTAACCACCACAAAGGCTGTGGAACATTAATATTAGAAATTTAATAGTTTGCAATAAAACAAGTTATATACATTGTATATGAGAAAAAAGTTTTTTGGTTTTTTTATCCAGATATTTTCTATAAAGTTACTGAGTACATAATCTTTATTTTTGCTTTTTTAAATAATCTTTTCGTTTCATTGAAAGAAGTCTAAAAATATTCCAGCATGAAAACTCGTGAAATTAACAGCAAAATCAAATGAGGAAACAATGACTTACATTTGCCTGTATAATGACCAAGTATCGAGTTATCTCCTCGTAGTTGAGCCGTTCCCTTAGAACTACGGAGCCAAACAAAGTCAGGGGGATGTCAAAGGTTCTGTTGGCAGTCTGGAGAACATACAGACATGAGGCAAAAGCAAACTCAATGAGTCACACACAAAGTCTACTCTTAAGATTTTACAAAATAAAGACAAGCTAAGACATGCAATACACGTGGAAGATAGTTACACAAGTGTAACAGCAAGGCGTATTTTATGATTTCAATGCGATGCAAATGAGTTGTTCAGCGGAAGCAGGAATAATTTATGTGGGCTCAGAACCAGCAGAGCAAAAAGAGAAATATAACAATAAATCAAATGAAATCTTCAGTAAACGCTGTTTCGATTCCATAGAGAAGCACAAATCTGATATAGAATAAAATGAGTGAGAATGGGTTTAAAATATAATTTCGTGAATAGGGTCCTTAATAAGAGGGGGGGAATTACAACAATAAATGCAGCTTCAGTTGTATTCTGAATTTAAGTAAAAGTTTTGCTTTCCTATGTGAAAAACTGTTTCAGATGCAATTATTTAATATTTTATAACAACACACCAGATAAACGACAATAATATCAACTTTTTTAAATCAGAACACATTAAGAAACCTAAAACACCTTAGTGCACACAACCACATCAAACTCTTTCAGAACATTGTTTAAAAAGGATCCTTTATGGCTTTTGGTGAAATAGACCACCAAACTCAGTTTTCCATAATCCACACCGGGAAACGGTTACAGGTAAACTGGATTATATTTAAACACTGAGCAGCACAGTTTGGGCAGTTCACTGGTCCAGGGCAGAGTCGACAGGAACATAACAAAAAAACAAAAAAACCAAAAGCAACAGTGCTGTAAACTCATCTTGAGAGGTTTATAGTAGCCAGGAGGACAATGCATACATGAAGATGAATTATCAAAAACATTGCAGTTTAAACAAATTACAGTTAAAGAGATAAGTTCTGAGAAACACACATCTCTTCTTGTTTTATAATTTACCAAAGAACAATATATGTTTCTAGTGATATTAATGGAAAATACATTAATTATACCTAAAGAGTCAATGGAATAATCTATCAATGGGCATAAGATCTGAGAAGTTGGCCATGACCTGAACTGAGTCATTCTGTCATCAGTCTATCCCTTTGACACGCTGCCCCGTCTTACTGGAAACGACTCTGTTCCACACAGGATTACTCTTGGATTGTTGTTTCTGGGGTATGTTTGGATTTCCTTTTCATACATTCCAGCATTTTCAGGTAAAACTTGAATGATTTTGCTCTTTTGGTTGAGAGAGAACCCCAAACATGAATGGAGTCAAGATGCTTCACTCTCAGCATGTCTCAGGACTCATGCCAGCATCCATTTCTTCTTACCAAGACAGTTTTTGTGTTTTTTGTTTTTTTTTAGATATTCCAAGCAACCCAAAGAGAACTTCGGCAGAGGGAATACCCCACAGTTCTCTCTAGTCCAGTTTGCTGGTAATCCTTGTATTCTCTGGAGAAAGTAAGGATTTTTTTCCCCTTACAAGAAGTGACTTTTTAGAACCAGGCCACTGTTTTAAAGTCAAGACCTCACTGCACTCTCATACGCAAGTTTTGCATTGATGGCAACTTGATCCTTTAGTTGCACCAACTTTAGTTGATCCTTTAGTGCAGGGGTCCCCAAACTTTTTCCTGCGAGGGCCACATGACTGTTCCCTTTTCTGGTCGGGGGCCGGTCTTAGTTTTTCGAGAAAGAAACCTTAGAAAAGTTTTGTTGACGGGGGGGGGGATTGGATTACTGCCGACGACATATTCGCGTTTGTAGATTGAGTTTTACCCAGAATGCAAATGGAAAAAAACCATGAGCGAAACAGTGACTGGTACTCACTAGTATATATTCCATTGAGGGAACCTAAGTTTCATATCTGCTCAAGAGCCCCCCCTGGTGGTTGAAGAAAAATCCACATATATATGAAAAAAAAAACACTGAATGCTCTCTGGTATTGTTCAGGGGGCCGGACCAAATGAGGAGGCGGGCCGTAGCTTGGGGACCCCTGCTTTAGTGGGACTTGTAGAAGTCCCAGAAGAACTTCTACAAGTACTTCTGAGACAATGGGAAATGTTTCCTTTATATCCAATTTAGCAGCGGTGTTACTAGAAGCGACTGTGAAATTGTTCTGAAAGTATTTATTTGGCGTTACACAGTTAGAAAAAACAACAACAAAAAGAAACCCAATGATTTTAAGCTTTGTTCTCAGGTAAGACAACTGTTTTCACTTCTAAATCAATAAGGATGGGACAGTTATTTATATCCACTGAAATAGAGTCATTAACATTTTGAGGCAGAGCCAACACATAATCCCACTGAGGTCTTTGCGAATAAAATATTGTTTTTGACATTTCATTCGGCAACATTTCCATTTCAATGAACGCAAATTACAAACATAAAAACTGAAACATTACAGCTTGTGAGAAAACATGAGCTTTTGACCCTTTTGGTGAAACTGTTTTCCGGTCTTTGCCAACATGATTATATTTGTATGAAAATCAAATATTCTTAAACCAGACAACAGAACATGTTCAGAAATTGATTGCATAGAGTTTGACAGCAAAATACCAGAACTCACCGGATCTTTTGGGTTGTACTGGACGGTGTACTCTATCTGCCCGTTGGGGCCGTCGTCGATGTCGGTTGCACCATTATTCCCCGAGAAACCAGAGAAGATCGTTGTTCCTACAGGGGTTAGCTGAAAAAAAGAAAAAAAAACAGCAGCAGTCTTTCCATATGATGTCAAAACTTTGAAAACACAGTGATTAAATCATTTCTGACAGTGTCATACAAACATCTATTGTTTTCATGTGGCACAGATGAAAGAAGAGCAAAATAAGATTCACCAGCGTTTGGCCACAAGGGATGTTAATCCCCCACTGTTTTCTACAGAACAAAGAGAAAGTGCTTTGCATTTTTATTTTCATTACGCATAAATCGGACTTGAAAAGGAGGATCAGTTGGGAGTCATTTGTGTCTCTTTCAGTTGCTCTTGAAATAAGTGAAACACAGGAAGTGTTCAAAATGTTCCGTCTATGCATAGCATCAGCAGGCTCTCACTAATGCGAACAAATGAAAGGTTTCACTGCCCCCCTCTGATAAAAGAGAAAATGTGGAGATCCAAATGTTTTACTGTGTCACTGTTAAAACTAATTACTGCTCAGATAAATAAAGTACTCACAGAGGTCACAGCTCATTAAATTGAGCCTTTTCAGGAAGCAGAATTTTGGAAATTAATGAACAAAAACTCAATTTTTGAGAAAAATATGTTGCTGGTTTGCTGTAAATACAGTCAACCTTGTTGTGAGTGAAGCTTTTAAGACTTCTACCAAACTGGAGGGTTGACAATTTAGTAACAGCTTTTAAATGTGTAAACACATTAACACCAAAATAACTGAGAAACAGGAGTTGTATCCATGAACACAGAAATCCACTTTGGTGGAAACTCAAAGGAGAGACCTATAACTGAAGGTTACTAATAATAAATGTCAACTACAGGACAAGTTTTTAAAAAATAATAATACATTGACTGATATATTTAAAAATAAGTTTTTGTTGTTCATAGCTCCTCCATTATGACCTAAGCACGTAGCACAATCAATGAATAGCACAACCAGCACTCGCGAAACACAAGTATCGATGACCGTAAACAAAAAGGCAAGTTTGTTCAGGCTCTCACTGTAAATTACAATCCATACTTTATTTCACCTTGAAGTGTTGACTATCACAAGCAGTTTGTTTGTTCTGTTAAATAATTTAGCCACAACAGGAGGGAATACTGAGAGTGAAATTCTGCTTTTTGCAGCCTTCCCAAATGCAAACCTATGAGTGCAGATATTCAATACTCCATTTAGGTCAAACTGACAGACGATTTTAAGCATCTTCAAAGAGTAAGAATAGTTTGATCTATACGGTTTGAAGTTTTGTATGCTAAAATTAATTTTAAAATGGTTATGGTAAAATGTTGAGTGGAATGCTGAGACTTCTTAAGGTCCTTACTGTACCCACTGCAGCCCACTGTAGCTTGTATATGTTGGACATATAATAAAGATATTTTACTGTTAAATAAGATATTTAACAGTAGTTAAATAGCTAGTGCATGTCTTAAAGAAAAATAAATAAATATATGACTGGGAACAGAAAATAGCTGAACACATGCCTACGGCCAACAATGGGGGATGCGTAAGAGGAAGATAACTCAGCTTCACACATGGCACCAATAGAGTTTGGCTAAATAGAAAGCTTTTTTTTATTTTTTATTTTTTGGAAACAGACCAGGAGTAATTAGCAGGATGTTTTTGCTCTCCTCTGGACACGTGGCAGAGTGCATGAAACACCAAACAGCGAAACTGAGCTTACTGAGCAAAGTGAGCAGCAAACACCAGGTGACCCAAACCGTATTTTGTAGTTAGTGTTATTTTGGGTTATTATGTGAAATACAATTAACATTTTGCAGCTTTTAATGAGAGAAAACATCATCTTCTGTCTATATTTTTGTATTTTTTAAGTCATTATGTTTTACTGACACATTGTAACTAGACTGCATTGTTGTCTGCCACGGTAGTACACAAATCATGCTCCAAAACTACAGCTTGAAATCTAACAGCAATGGGTTAAAAATCATCATTGTCCTTTATTGTTCATCATAAAAGGCTTGAATGAAGTGATTTTAAACACAATTACTGGAAATTAGCCATTAGCCAGTCAGTCAGGCACACAGCACTGCCTTTTCCTGTCAGAGCAGCTCTGAGTCAACTCACGCCTTTGTCCGTTTCTACTTAATGTTTGTTTTAAAGGATAACAGTTTATGCCCGCAAGTATGCTCACAGCTCGACTGTGTGCAAGTGAGGCACATCTCTGAGCTAAAGCAGGAATCAGCATTGGAAGCATAGCGGTGCTGCTTTGGCATCAGAAAATGTTACAGAACCAGATTGTTTCGTGTATATTATCATTATTCTTTTTTTGTTCCCACAAAACACAGCAAGACAGCTTTTGGGGCATATTTTTCAGCAAAAATAAACCATTGTACAAAGAAAAACATGTTTTTCTGAGAATGACAATGCAAATAAATTCCAACCCCTCAAAACCTTTTACTGTGCTAGGAACGTTTGTCCAAACTCATCAACATTTAGGACATCCATTCACTTTATTTTATTTTTTTCCAGTTCAGCACTATTTAAAGACATTTAAACTCAGAGAACACTTGGCTGTACAGATATGCACCCTTAAGTATGTTCTGCAATTAAAAACAATATTCCAGCAGTGTGGACGGTAATGAGGGGAACAGATATATTTGTCTTTTGCATACAGAGATGCAAAATCATGTGTTTGTTTGGCCTCTGGTTGAACATAAAGATACAGTCTCTCACATTTCTGTTGTAAATTTATATTTTGTCTGGTGTATTTCTGTGTTGGCACCAGATGCCAAAGCAGATTTCTGCATGTGCAAACATTTGTGGCAATACATTTCTGTCTGATTCATATTTATAGAGCCTAATCACAACAAAGTTGATCTCAGGTCATACATTTAAAATGGATTTATTTCAAATGAAATTACATTCATCTTCCTTCTTTCAGTCGAATCAGTGACTGGCATTCAGCTTCATCGCTAGTAAAACTACCAGCTAAATGCTTGCATTATTTACTTCTGGTTAGCATGCATGCCGCTTATCAATTGGAGAACAAACTTTACTTCCAAAGTGAATACTTGAGAGAAACACCACAGACTATCTGGACATTTGTTGGTAGGAAAATCTGTACGTCATGAAGTTATATAAGAGATTTTGGGCATATAGACGGCATTTATTTCAAAAATATTTCACTAGGTTCAGTTGTCAGACAGATCTGTCAAGATATCCAGATTATGCTAAATAGACATCAGTTGTTGCAACATTTAAAAATAAAGCAGCTTCTTATTCTGCCTGGTACTGAAAGTCGTGGGTTACACGGGTTTCAGTAAGAGAAAATTATCCAGATTTCATTAAATATATTGTCCAATAACCTATTCGTAGTTCTTTTTGTGATTCTTGGAATCAAGGATGCTATATTCAGTGTTCAATTACATCAAAGCGGATGTTGCTGAACTTCTGCTTTGATGTTCAAAGCAGATGTAATTGATTCTTTTTCTATATTAAAGAATTAAAACATCTTAGAGCTTTAGAGGACGACCGGAAGGCTAACGGGGTTCTGCTCTTTACTTCTATCTTCAAAACAAGATATATACGTTTTTGAAATATTTACAACCAGTTGGACGATTTTGATGACTGGTAGATATCTTTAAATAAAATTAAGTACTGTAGTTACTGTTATATGAATAGCATTAACCATAGTAGTGCTAATCTAAAGATGCCAAACAGCTTAAAAATGACATCATATATTCTTGGCTGTTTCACAAAGAGACTAAACTACTGAGCTGAATGGTGGGAAAGCTCCTCTCAGGACTCATGACCTGAGAGGAGCTTTCCCAGCAAAAGTACTTTACTCTCAATTAGTTAATCTAAGACATTCTTATTAAATTAGCTGTTATTGAATGAGCTTATTAAAACTTTTTTTTTAGAAAACTAGCTACATTTTTTAGGAATAGCAAAAAATATTGGTAGGTAGTAGGTGTTCTTTGTATTGAAATAAAAGACAGAATGGTTGGGAACATTTCTACTAAACATGTATGTATATATATTTTACTTTTACCGAACATGTTAACCAAGAAAAAAAAAATGGCTCTAGATTTTCTAAATGTAATATTCCAAAGATTTCTTTTAATATTAGATAAATAAGCTCGTCACCCCCCTGACAGTAAAGAAAAAAAGCAGATGATAAATTGCTGTACTTTGCTAACCAAGTCTTTGATAAGGTAAAAACTAAAGTCTGAACTCTAGCCAGCTATGAATAAATGAGATTAAGGGTCAAATTGGTGCGGCACTGATGATTTGCTAGATCATTTCCTCTAGTCGTGTTATCTCTTCTCCCTGATTTAACAATGGTTAAATTGTTAGCATCACTTTGCAGCTTTTAGATAATGAAGCAACTTTAAATCCTGGTTCCAATGCCTTCCTGTGAAATTAACACCAGGATAAGCTAAGATGGAAAACTTTTAGATTAAACTTTAACTGTGTCCTCGAGATTGTTGTGAAATGGACTGAATTTATGTTGCGCTTTCCTAGTCATAGAAACCAGTCAAAGGCCACTTTGACCCATTCACACACACACATACAGATTCACAGATTGGTAGACAATATGAGGTTAAGCACAGAGCCCAGGGGAATATCAATAAAGAACATACAATACAATAAATTGTGATTTAAAGGTAAATGGAGTCCACCTGTGTTTAGTTTTCTTCTTAGATTTAGTTGGTCTTGTCAGCATTCTGGCTTGTGGAGGTTGTGTGTGAGTGTTTGTGAGACTTCCCTCCTGAGCAGGAGTCTCTGCTGGAGGGCGTGGTGAACCTGTTGGGGCCGTTACACCCGACTGCAATTATCCAATCACCTGCCGGGGTTCCGGTCATCGTTTCTGGGTAGAATCAAGCTCCAGTCTGATTTTCCCTCCTCAGGAACAGATTTATCCGTTTACCTTCCTTTGAGACCCGTTTTCCCTTCTCTTCGCCTTGCTGGTTTAACCTCCTAACGGGTTTCCAGGCCAGATTTCAGTCCGGATTGATCATCCACAGCAGCCCCACTGGTCTCAATCTATTAATCAGTATGAATAATTAAATTGGAAAGTGGGTGCAGCTGTCTGGAGCTGTGCTAAACTGGTTCACAATTTAATTGGCACAATAGAACCACTTAGTGACATTTGGCAGTCATAAGTCTGAGTAAGTAAACAGTAAATGACCAACTAAAAACTAAAAATCTCAGCCCACTTTTATTGGTCATCTAAGTTAACCGTTTATTCATATTATAGAGTTCTATAACATTATATCCGTGTAACTGACATGGTATGTGTTTGTTTCACTATGTTACCAGATTTCTTACCAGCTTCAACTTGTCTAAAATTAGATTGCCTTATCAAAAATATAAAAAAAAAGAAACAGTTTCTGTGATAACGCATGACAAAATGATTGTTACATTTACATTCAATTCTAGCTTAGTTAGTTCAAAAGTAGCTGGATAAAAATAATCTATGATTTAATTTTATTATGCAGTTTTAGTTCTGGCAGTAGTGAAAGTGAAATAAACAAAGCTGTGGCTGTCGGACTAATTCAACCACTCACTGAATCAAAAATAAGCAAGTGTTCCGGTTATTACAATACTGCTAACATTTAAATCAAAGGAGCCACTTTTGGAAAATTATTGCATTCAAATTGTCTGAAATGACCTGGGCAAAACACAGGAAGAATTATCATGACCAGGCAGCTCCTAAATTGGAGGAAATAAGTTTAAAAACAGTAATAGGAATTTTCAGAGGCGCATGATGAGGTGTGGGTGGAGAGAAGAAATAAAAGCCCTCAAAATCATTTTCAACAAAGGTGGAGAGGTTAGTGAAAGGGCAACACTGAGAAGGCAGGAGAGATGAGGGAGAATGCATAGGAGGGAGAGGAATGCTGCAAAAGGAGCAGAGAATGTGGAAAAAAAAAAGGTTGAGGGGACAGATTGAGTTTGACAGGCGGAGGAAAACTGTATAACGATATATTTGCCTCAGCCTAGGATGGTGCTGGCAGCAAGCTACATGCATCCACGTCCAGTTTAACTTTACACTTCCTCTTGCTGAATTCCTCTTCCCATGACGCTAGAGGACAAACTGTCATGTTGAAGATTATTCTGAAAGCCACAAAAAACCCAATTTCTTTCCATCTGTCTAAAACCTTTCTATTCTCCTTCAAGTGGTGCAAACAAAGAAGAAAGAGGAAAGGAAAGCAAACTGGGTACTGTTTTGTGCTTGAAATGTGTTGCAGCGAAATCATGTAATTTCTTTAATATTGACTCAAAAACTTTGGAGGAAATTGACAAAAAAAAAAAAAAAAAAAGTTTGGTATAGAAAGTCAAAGACCAAACCAAAAGCCAGCATTTCCTACCACTGATTTCTTTCATTTCAAAATTTTATAAATATTGGTCTTAAAGGAAGAGCCAGATATACACTCTTCAAAATATTTATTCCACATTTTGTCTAATTTTGTATTATAGGTGGATTTTATATTATAAATCAACGAGTAGTGTATAATGGTAATAAGTAAGGAAATTATACCTTTTTTTTCCATGTAAAAGTAGGAAATGACTCATTTATGCAGATATATGTGACATCTATTATGAACAATTACTTTTAGCTAGAAAACCTACATACAGAACAGTGGTTACTTTATTTGTAACATTGTTTATTGTGCTGTTTATTCTTTATTGTGTGAAATAAACTTGAATCGGAAAAAATGGAAAGGGGACAACACATCTGCAAGTCCTCTTTGCAGAAAGTGACCTTGTGTATAATATAGATTCATTACAAAGAGTGAAGTATTTCAGCTCTTCATTTATTGTAGTTTCAATGAGTATTTTTTATTGAAAACAAAAACCTAAAATTGAGTATCTCTGAAAAAATTTCATGGGACAAAAAACTTTATTTTTGTTGTGATCTACAACATTTATTTGGAAAACTGCTGACTCGACAGATGAATGTTGAAAACGTGAAGGGAAACACACTTTGAGATCCCTTGTTTTGAAGAGCCTTCTGCCTTTTCTCCAAGCTACATTGAAACAATCTGCATCTGAGAAACATAAAAGTCATCTGTGTGTGCAAAACCTGCAAAAGAGTGTTACCTCACTGATGGCGACGTAGTATCGAGGCTGCTGGAAATGCGGAGCGTTGTCATTGCGGTCCCGGACAACAATGCGGACCTCGTGTAAAATCACTGTTCCAATCAGCTCGTTGGTGCACTGAACCTGAACCACGATGGACTGAATAAATGAAGGTGGCTGGAAGGGAGAAGGAGAAAGAAAGATAACACACTATTGCAAACTGGAGAATCAAAATTATTTGCCAAGAAGTTTCATTTATGGCAAGTCACAGTCACACGTTCACACAGTTGATGAATATAAGGGAGAAGCGGCAGAGATTTGATATCTTCTCAGAGAAGATGGAGCTAAAAGTTTGAGTTTATCAGAATGGAAAATGGTTGTGGGTAAGACAGCCATAAAAATGCATTTCTGACATCAAATTTTCTCTTTATAGGATAGACGGTAAATGTACCGATGCCAATTTTCTGTGAAATTGTTGGAATGATTTCAATTTGTGTCACTGCCACAAAGATCAACTGTAGACAGAAAGTTTTCAGACCCTTTACGTTTTTTTCTCTTTACCATCCAGTCAGAGACATTTGAGCTATGTTCACTTCTCCTTTGGTCAACCAACAGCCATCTATTGTTTGTAAATTTTACAACAAAATTATACAAAAAAGAGAAATAAAGCTCTTTTTCAATAGCAAGCTTTCACTTGAAAAGATCATATAATAATTTTTTTTTAACTAGTCTCAAATTATTTGAAATTCAACATATTTATGTTATTTCTCTAACAGAAACAGGCCAAAAATAAAATAAAACTATCAACTGTTTAACAGGAGTTTGAACCTTTCAGAACTTACAGAGAACATGTCGGTAAAATGAAGGCTAACAAGCCAAAAAGGTTCTGGACTGATTCCCTTGTGAGATGAGTCAAAACTACAAAACAGTGAGAAAAGAAGCATGTTTTTTTAAGTTATGTTAGCTTTGCAGCTACAGTGGGTGGAAATCTTTCCAGTTACGAACTGACCATAAATTCCTTTACTTCATTTTGATTCTTAACCAATTAGCTGACAAGGTGGAAATTGTATGGAAATGAGAACAATCACATAGTTAGATATTTTTATTATGCCTGAAAAGACTAAAACTGCTTAGGGAATGTCTAAATTAGTATATAAGTGAAGCACTGGTTAACTTCTTGCTGCTTTAGATGTTACAGAATTAGACAAATATAAAAATAAAAATTCTGACTTTGCAACTATGTGTACATTCCATTGAATGCTCAGTATAACTAAACATGTTTGCCAAAATGTTGCCTTTAAACATGTTGCTATACCAGAGAGTTCATATCTGGTGGCAGCATGCTGTGCAGATATTGCTGCCTCCAAGTAATCTCTGTCCTTCACAACGACACATCTGCTTTTGACAATGGATACTTTGATCCCATATTTCTCAAATAAACTGCTTAGGGAGCTATTCCCCTCTACAATTTTTTGATATGTTCTTATTCAGTAGGATTAGGATCTTGGCTGTTGAAGGGGCAATTAAAAAAAGTCATTTTCCAAATTTTATTATGCTTTTTTAATTATTTCCAAATCCTTTTGGCTATATGTTTTGGTCTAAATCCCAGCCATGTGAGATTTAGAGTTCTGCCTCTATATTCACTCATGGGTGCATTGATGGTCTTGAAACTTCACTAAGCAATGCACAGATTACGGTTCCCTGTGTCAGATGAAGTAAAGCAGCCCCAAAACAAAGCCGCAGAAGCTATGGTGTTGTTTTCTTCGACAGCCTAAGATTAGAATTCCCCTCTTGGATTGGATGTGTTCCTGCTCTTGCTTCAAACTCTGCTCTTGCACTCAAAAAGTTTTGCCTGATTATAAATATCCTCTACCTCCTCAAAAAAATATATTTTTTTAAAGAGCAGAAGCCAGTTTTGCAAGGTGCATCCAATCTGCAAAAGAAAATTGAGGGTTCAGAGCATGTAAAATCTCCAATGAACCTTAGAAAACACTGGTCTGAAAACATGTTGTCAACAAAAACCTGTGAAAAAGAAATGGTTGAACTGAATAAAATAAGAAAACAGCAGCCACAGAGGCACATCGAACATAGAAATGTTGAACTTTCTTACATCTCTATCAAGAACTCGTCCAGTGCTGTTCAGGTAAAGAGACTGCCTGGCAGGATCTAGAATCACCCAGTAGTTGTAGTTGTCTCTTAGAGACAAAGAGATTGTACGATCTGGACCCTCTGCCACACCATTGATCTGCATGTTCTCCACCAACAGTGTTCCTGAAATACAAAAAAATATATAAATGTGTTTAGTCCTCAAACAAGCTTTGAATTTGAAGAAATCTAGATGATTTTTTTAAATAGCAAAAAAGATCATAGGTTTGAGAAAACAAAGCTCAAACATTTTCAGTCCATGTTCTTCTCAATTTATCTGACATATTTCTTTTTGGGTCATGGGAAGTAGGATAGAGTTATATGCAATGTTGGTAGAAAATCTGTTTGAAAGTAGGTTAGAGGTTCACTTTCCAGCATGAAACTAAACATATAGCCAGAACTACAATTGAATGGTTTGTATCAAAGCATATTCATGAGTTAAAATGGCCCAGCCATATTGAAGACCTAGATGTAATTGAGAGTCAGTGACAAAACATGAAAAATGCCTTAGCTTCAATCTTTCTGGTGCAACTGAATTGGAATTATGAGGAAAAAGCTATGATCCTCGCTATGATGCCAAGCTTCTTTTCAGATTAAAGTAAAATAAATGGGCTGAACTCATATAGCACTTTTCCAGTCTTCTGATACATCACAAGAAGCAAAGACTTGCAGTTTTACTAAATCATGCCTGGCTTGAATGTGGAAGTTCATTTTCTCCCTCTTGGTTACCTTTCTGAGTTAGTGTAATGAATCTATATAATATATGAGTTTCAACTTCGAGGTGAGTAACAGAAAATATCACTTTCAAACTTTTTAGATATTCACATTTTCCGTGATGTTCATTTTATATATATATATATATATATATATATATATATGATGATTTTCTGTTTTCTTTTCTCTAAGACACTTTGGAAACTAGTTTAGATTAAACACGTTTAGACTATTGGAAGATACACCAATTTAGAAAAGAAAAACACTTCAAATAATTGAAAGCCGAGTCTTTTTTAATAAAGCAGATGGCATAGATGAAAGAACTTTTGACTCCACACAGTCAGTTATGGAGTATAATTAAATCTTGCAAGATGCTTTGAGAAAAATAGAAGCTGGGAGACAAGTCTTATGAATTCTATATTCATTTTCATCTTTCATCCAGAGAAATAGAAAAACAATTAGCTAAAAAATAGGAAACAAGGGATAAAACAGGGTTAGTTTAATACATCTGAGCATACCCCACAGAAAAGTCTTGATCGAGCTGAAAATGATGCTGTCAATAATACCTGAACATCCTTTTTAGAATTGTTATTAGTTTTAATTTGCAGCTGCATTGTTAGAAGTCCAACCCAGCCCAGGGCAGGGATGTGATTAAATGTACTGCTAGATTTCATTTGAATGACTGTAAGATTGATGAATCTACTTTAAAAAGGCTGACTGGTTGGTTTACAACCATTTGTAACTCTATAGGTTTTCTATTTAACCTTCTCCATCCTTGGTCAGTTCGAGGGATGGATCCATTATCCCAGCCTATTCCTGCTCTTGCATCAAGAACAGAATCACACATTGCTTGTTATTCTTGAGTATCTCATGGATAGTTTATCTTATTGAGGTTAGTGACGCATATCACAGCCAAAAGAAAGAATTTTAGATATCAGTAACTGCTACAAATGACAGTATACAACATAAGGCCTGCTTCACTGCACTCTGAGCAAATGATGCGATGCCACACTGCGGTGTTTGGGTTTGTTAAATTATGATGGCCTAAATTTTTATAAGACTGGAAATCAGGACACACCATAATAACAGAACACCCTCAAAATAATAGGCATCTATGAATAATTTTTCATAGTTGTTTTAGGTCAGCCGGTTATGATCTTAATCATTCATGAAAAGTACATTGAAAAACTCATCTTTCTCACATATATTTTTTCTAAATTTGGCATTAAGATGTTGAAAGTCAGGCTTGATTAATTAATCTATTTTACCATGGCACAACTTTTATGAATTGACATCTTAAAATAGATTTTTCCAAATTAGTTTGACATTGTTAAGATAGTGGTGGAACTAATGCATGCTACATCTTCTAAATTTAGCTCAAATGGTTAATTACATAGGCACTTTATTTGTAATTTCCTTTAATTACATTATTGATTTATACTAAACTTTCAGCTTTAAATTCTCCATTACAACTTAAATTGCATTTAAAGCATCATGGTACCCCTCTTTGAATCTGTAGCATATGAAAACATGTTGCTAAAAATCTCAGCATCAGTTTTTAAGCATCTGACACTAAAATACAGGATTCAAGAACGTTTCTAGACATGTCTAAAAATTACAACTCAACTTAGAGGCATCAAACTTACTGCAGACATGCAACAATGCAGCTAAATTTATTCAAGTGCAACTCAGAAACTTCAGCAATGATTTGATAATAGCATTACTTGATGTCATGCTACTCTCTGCAGATCCTCCACATGCCAAAGGCTTGAAGTGGTCCAAAAGATGATGGCAGACTGACCTACTTTATGATTAATTCTGCTAATAATTATTTCAACACTTAGGAGGCACTTATACATATTGTAGAGCATTTGGCCGCCTGTATCCCAGATAAAAGCCACTTGTATCTGGGATACAAGCAGCCAAAATTAGCTTCCTCCATAGGGTGGTCAGATTCAGCAGAAGCCTTTCATCTAAGGGGAGCTCAAAGTGGAGCTGCTGCTTCTCTGTGTCAAAAGCATTTGGTTTAAGCAGTTTGGGTATCTGATCGGGATGTTTTCTAGGTTCCTACTTTTGGTGATTTTTCATGGCTTGGGAATGCTTCGGGGTCCCCCAGGATGAGCTAGAGGGTGTTGCATGGGTGTTCCCTCTGGGAGTTGTTATCCACACAACCCCTTTTGAATAAGAAGATGGATGGGCCGATGGAAATGTCATCATCAAATCATCATTTGAACATTACGTATCAGGTGATGTTACTGCAAAAAGCAACTTCCTGATGTAGTAGCAGACTTGTTCTTTCATCCCAATACACACATACTCATAAGATGTAACAAGACTTGATGCTTCACAAAATATATCCAGTTTTTTTTTCTCTTTTCGACCCATTAAGGCATATTTTAGATACTCCAGCAAATGTGGCATGATAAGGAACAGCATAACTGAACCTTCAATGATGAAATAAACACACAGCGTTTCTTACACATTACTTCACCAAGCTAACTTAGACTTGTATGCATTCCTAAAAATACACCATAATTAACATAATCACTAGAAAATGTCAGTGTTTAATCCAGTGGAACAGGACAGCTGAATGAGATGAAACACAAGTGCTTGACTGTGATGGATGTGATCATTATGTGAATTTATTTGGAAGCTATACTGAAATGTTATTTGAAAGATGACACAATTATTCTTCTAGCACATGGCACAGGTAAAATAAGTATCCACTTGAACTTTTTATCTCACTGTACACTGTGATGTGGGCATTGAAAATATTAACAGCAGATGATGGTAACAATACACATAATTTATAAGTTGTTTTTTTTTAAGTAGATCAAAAATGAAAGTTATAGCTAAACAAATGAGAATGACATGATTTTTTTTTATTAAGTAATTTGTGCAATGCAGGTTCAAAGACATCTCTTGACTAAAAAAACATTTCACGTCATTGTTGAGATGTGATTTTCTTCCATACTGTGTGTTCTTGAGTGTTCTCAGAGTCCTATTATGCAGTCTGATTTTCAGCTTTTACGTATATTTGTAGCTGCATACGAGTCAGATAATAGACTGGGCCATTCTACTAGCTTTACTTTCTTTCTCTGACAATTAGGAGTTTCTTTTATGGTATCTGGCACTATTATCTTGCTTGGGAATCTACACCTTGTTTCTTTCTTTTCTCAATGCAACCTTCATTCAGTTAAATGAACTTAGCATGCTATTTCTACCTGCAAACTTAAGTTTTGGCAGGATGGATTTGTGGAGTTTTGCAGGATCATTTTGCCTCCAATTATAGTGTATGACGTGTCACTCAAAAATGTCAGGTTTGGCCTGAAATATACGGAAGTCTCACTGAATAATCACAAGATTGTATCTAGTAATTTTGGTCTAGTTCCTTGTGAAAATATCTTAGCACACTTAAATTAGACAAAACTAACTTATAAATAACTTTTATAGAATACTTAAAGTATAACAAAGAGGTACAAAAAAAGGTATGTTAATTTGAAAAAACAAATCTGTAAAAACCTTACATGTTTGACTTTGTATTACTCAACACACAGGAGACCGATTACCAGGCCTTACATCATGCATTATTAATCAATCATCCCGCTGCATCCTATCTTTCAGTACATTATCACAGAGTGGAAGCTTTTAGACCACAAACTTAATTTTCTGCCATTGTGCCCATGATTTTTTTTCTGGTTGTTGTGCACAACAGAGGGAAGGATAAAAAAAAGCACTTGGTATTTTCATTTTTACTGATGCAAGCAAAAAAGATTTTAAAAAAAAACCAGGATATTATTAGACACAAGCAGAAATAGTGGTAAAGGGACCCTAAAAAAACAATTTGTAACTTGTCCTCTGTGGTGTCACCAATGAAGAAAAATAAAAACCAGTGTTTGTAGGGTATTTTAGGATGGAGATGAAAGACAATATCAGAGACAAGAACAGAGATTTACATTGGCAAGGAAAAGTTGAATGCCAAGCGGGATTGTTTGCTTCTGTGTATGAGTCGACAAGGGGGGGGGGGGGGGGAAAATGATTTTTTTGGCCCATGTGCATAAAACCATCTGCGCACAACACAAACACACATGCACTGAACAATTTCATATCTGATCTGGCAGATATAAAATTGGGTCATGGCCTTCTGTGCTGCCATGGAAACCACTTCAAATACACTGCTGTGATTTGTTGATTTTTAAATAAATAGGGAAATTTTATTAAATTGGTTTCCGTACATAGGAGATGGGTTGTAAAACCAACTCATTAAAGGAATTTGAATTTTACCGTCTAGCTTCTCCCCTAAGTCTAGGTCCCTTTGGGGTTTTTAAATGGGAGAAAAATCACCCAGATACACACATAGAACAGGAAAGTAAGAAACCAACAATGTGTGCTGCTGTGTCTAATTGAACAGT